CAATGCCCCCTTCCCCACCCCTTACTCCACAGTGCCCCCTCCCCCTCCCCGTACTGCTGCCCTACCTTGCAGCACAACATCCCTCAGTAGAAGAGAGGGAGTTCACTGGAGTGAGTATCCAATGATCACACCTTGTGCCAGAGGAGCAATGCAACTTCTCTTTCTGCTTCTGGTTCTCAGCCAAGATTATAGGCCATGGATATTTCCTAGGCATCTGAGATGCCACATCTTCAAGCAGCACAGCTCCTTCTCAGAGAGAGAGCACAGGCTGGGAGCTGCTGCAGTTAGTCAGCATACAATTTCGCTCACTAATCTAATTTCAGTCATCAGTTGCAACACAGGAAGGGGAAGTGAGAGTTACAAATAGCTGGTGGCCAAAGATATTTTAGTCTCTATATTACAAATGCAACAGGAAAATCCAGGTTTAAAAATGCAACATCTGAAGGGAGTTGAATATTCGTGTTGGGGACAGACTTGTTAGGTTCAAAGAAAGATGACTGGGTAATTGCTTCCTGGGAAGGATCGAGAAAATGAAGTACGGAGACAGAGAAAGATTGGCCCAGCTATGAACAGGCAGAAATATACACTTCAAATCCTCACAACAAATGTTTGAGACAGCTATGAGCAGGTCAACAGTGATGAACAAAACAGAACAAGTTGCTCAAACAGGTTGTGAATACAAGCTTGGAAAGACAGAAAGGAATATCCAACTGCTGCAGTGGAAAGGCCTGTGGTGGAATACGGATGGAAACGTTGAGTTGAAGGGGAGGACAGTTTTAAGAGTGAAGCAGGGTAGTTAATGGTCAGCCCATGAAGCTGGTTGTAAGTGATCTGGAAAGTTCCACCTGACAGGGCACTGGAAACAGATTCAACTTTCAAACAGAATTAAAAGCATGAAAAGAAGAACTTGGCACAGCTGAAGGTTGACAGCAAGTGAAGCAGGAAGAATGAGATCCCTCTATGAGACAGCCAAGTAGATTTCACAGTAGGGCCATGTTCTGTATTGTCTGATTGAAGAACAGAGACTGGTTCAGAAGGTGACAACATTTAAACCATTGCTGTAGCAAACAGTCAGGAGATAGCACTCTCTGTACACAGCTTTAATAGTCAGTGTCCACCCTTAAACACTGTTATTCCCCGAGCTGGCACCTGACCAATACCACGGCTGGGTCCGCCTTACCTCGATGTTGAAGTACTGAGGTCCTTTCCCCATTAACGCATCAATGTATTCCAAAACCAGGTCGACTGCCTCCTCCAAAAGGTCATAGTTCAGGTACAACCGCAGGAGGCCAGCAACATCCACTTTCTGCTGAGAACAGAAACATTAAGGCCCCAGTACATTTATATACGGTGTGCACACAGCCACCACACATACGTCACCCACACCACCTACACACACACGTACAGATCCTATTCCCCTCCCACACACACGCTCAGAACCGCCCCTTCCCCCTCCCACATACACGTATAGACACCCCCCTTCCCCTCTCTCACACATGCACAGACGACCACCCCCTCCTCCCTCCCACACACACACACACACACACACACAGACTCTCTCCCTCCCCGACACACACACACAGACCCTCTCCCTCCCTGACACACACGCACAGGTCCCCCCTCCAACACAGCCACTTTCCTCTTGGTATTATAATAGTTTGGAACAGCAGGCCATCATCTCTGTGGCACATAGCCCTGCTGTCCGATGAAAACAAGGGTGGTTGGGTCACTAAGTCTGATATTCCAAGGGGCTCCCCCACTGTCATCCTACCTGTCCCATATCTGATTGGAACAGCTGTCTGCTAAGTGCATAGTCAGAGAGTTACTATACAGTCCAGAACAATATTTACATCAGGGCCAGAGTCTGCAGTGATTCATCTTGGGAATCCCTGCTGTCACAATTAATCCCACACATTAATCATTTAGCTCCTTTTACCTTGGTAATACTCAAAAACACAGAGGAGAAAATTCTTCGGTCACAGAACAGTCACTGTCTGATCGCAGTCAAATTAAACCACTGAAGTCAGCCTGAGACATTAGAGAATTACACAAGATAATCTTGGAGACAGCTCATTTGGCATCCTGCTCCTAATCGTGTAACTAACAAACACAGCAGAGAGGCCTGTGGGTTTGATCAGCTATTTGACCAAGTGTTTTAACCACCATCTCAAAGTTGGACAGGCAGCTTCGATATTCAGATCCGAGTAACAGAATGCACATCCGCCCTCAGCAAAGGGAACAATTTGCAGCTCTACCTTTTGGGACTTGAAGGTGAAAAGTCAAGTGTTCCACTTGCCTTATAGCTGTTAATGAGCCAGTTAGGAAGTGGCACTCCATGTGACAGCAGTTTGTTAATAACACAGCGATGGTATTGAGAACTTGGAGACTGGTAACGATCAAGATAGGACGACAGCAACCTCCAGGCTTCATCGGTGGCACTGAACAGAGAGAACACAGTTCCCAAGGAGTGAGTGAGAGATTCGTCTTCACTTAAAGCAGAAGGCCATTCGGCCCCTTGAACCTGCTCCACCTTTCAATAGGATCACGGCTGATCTGATTATTCCACATTCCCACACTTCCCTGATAACCTTTCACCCCATGGCTCAGCAAAAATCTGCCTCTCAAAAATATTCAAAGACTTTGCTTCCACCACCTTTTGAAGGAGAGAATTCTAAAGAATTGGGACCCGTTAGGGAAAACAAAAATTCTTTCCTCAGCTCTGTCTTAAATAGACAGCCCCTTATTTTTGAAGTGACCCCTGGTTTAGATTCTCTCACAACAGGAAACATCCTTTCCACATCCACGCTGTCGAGATCCCTCAGCACCTCATGTTTCAATCAAGTCACCTCATTCTTTAAAACTCTAGTGGATACAATCCTAGGCCGTCCAATGTTTCCTCAGAAGATAACCCTCCCCCATTCCAGGCATTGGTCTGGGAAACTGTTGCTGAACTGCTCCAATGCACTGATATCCTTCTGTAAGTGCAGTGATCAGTAGTGTACACAGTACTCCGGATGGGGTCTCACCAATACCTTGTATAGCTGAAACATAACTTCCTTACTCTTGCAGTTCCCCTTGTGATAAATAATCATATTCTATTTGCTTTCCTAATTACTTGCTGTACCTGTGTACTAAACTTCTGTGATTCATCCGTCTCCCCGAACTCTACATCTCCTAACTCTGCAGTTTCTTACCATATAGATACACTTTTAACTCTTTCTGCTTAATCAGATAATTTAACATTTTTCCACATTATAGTCCATTTGCCGAACCTTTGCCCAATCACTTAACCTATCAATACCTTTCTATAATCTCCTCATATCCTCTCCACAACCTACTTCCCTGCCTATCTTTGTGTTATCAGCAAAAACCAAACCTACCCTTGGTCCCTTTATCAAAGTTAGTTGTATAAATTGTAAACTCTCTAGCCATTTCACAGGCTGACCACAGTTTCTGGCACCTCCCACCTGCTAAATGCAAATATTTCTCTTCAAGTTAGCTGCTAGCTCAGCATCATGGTATCCTGTTTAAAGCTGGACTAACTGCAAACTACATTTCTCTTATTTTTCCTTCGGGGCCATTGTTTTAATTCCCCATTTCTCCCAGAAATTGTTTCACAGCAGAATCTTCATCCTAGGGTCATTTAAATGAAATTATACTCAGCACGGCTGGTGCTCCTGCTTTGTTAGACTACTGGAGACAGGAAAATCAATTACCGTGTAAACTGCAGCTTCTGCAAACTGCGTGAGTGCATGCAGTGGAACCCTGTGGGACATGTAGGACAGTTAACCAAGCAGACACCACTGATTAACCAAGAGACAGAAAAAAAGACACAGCTGCCTTGTTTGGAAGTTACAGCACGGTAAAGAAAATAGAAAGCTTGTTACAAGAACATGAGAATTAAGAGGAGCAGGTCGTTTGGGCTCTCAAACCTATCCCATCTTTCAATAAGATCATGGTTGATCAAAAATGGGTCTAACTCAGCCTCAAATACAGGAAAACCAAGAAAAACTGAGGTGTTCTGGAGCTGGGTCAGTAGTTTCACTCATGGTCCTGTCTAACTTTATTCTTTTCATTCATGTGATGTTGGCATCGCTGGGTTGGACTGCATTTATTGCCCAGCTCTAGCTGCCCTCAAGGTGGTGGTGACCTGCTGCTTTCTAAAAAAATCACTTGGAATTTTATTATCCCTGAAGGACATTCATGAACCAGGTGGCCTTGAACCACTGCAGTTCCTGAGCAGCAAGGAGACCCACCATGCCCCCTAGGAAGGGAATTCCAGGATTTTGACTCAGCGACAATGAAGGAACGGCGATATATTTCAAACTCAGGATAGTGAGTGGTTTGGAGGAGAACTTGCAGGTGTTGGTGTTCTCATGTATCTGCTGCCCTTGTCCTTCTAGATGGAAGTGATCGTGGGTTTGGAAGGTGCTGTCTGAGGATCTCTGGTGAATTTCTGCAGTGCATCTTGTAGATAGTACATACTGCTGCTACTGAGCATTGGTGGTGGAGGGAATGGATGCTTGTGGATGTCGTGCTAATCAAGCGGGCTGCTTTGTCCTGGATGGTGTCAAGCTTCTTGAGTGTTGTTGGGGCTGCACCCATCCAGGCAAGTGGGGGGGTATTCCATCACATTCCTGACTTGTGCCTTGTAGATGGTGGCCAGGTTTTAGGGGAGTTATTCACACAGTATTTCTTGCCTCTGACTCACTCAGTGTTTTTGTGACTCCAGCTGAGTTTCTGTTCAGTGGTAACCCCAAAAATATTGGAGGTGCAAGTTTTAACAACAGTAGTGCAAATGGACACATCATGGGCAGATGATCAGATTGTCTGAAATGGTGAAGATCATTACCTGTTACTTGTGTGGCACAATGCTACTGGCCACTTTTTAGCATAAGCATAACAATTTTCCAAATCTTGTCACGTGCAAGCGTGTAATGTTTAAATATCTGAGGAATGGTGAATGGTACTGAACAATGCAATCAGCAGCGAACATCCGCACTTCAGACAGAACAGTGACACTACCATCACAGTTCCCTCAACAAGACATATTCTATTTAACTTGCCTCAGCAGGATTTCCTTACTCATATTGTGGTGGATGTGCACTGATGATGAGAATTTACCTGAACACGCTTCAGAAAGCCTTTCCTGTCTGCTTATTACACTACACTAGCCTAGTAGTACATTAGGATCGTGGAATCTCCCACTGTCACTACTCTGAAATTCTTGTAGGTCAAATTTATTTGGAAATTTTCTCTCCTCTTTCACACTAGTTGGTGACCCAAAGAATATACTTGATAATTTAACAGCACTTCCATTGTTTAAGCTCAAACCAATTAGATTCCATCTGTGAATGCTCCCAAGATATCCTGTCGCTCTCACTCCAGAACTGTAATATTCTCCATCATTACTGCCAACCATTCTGTTTCCTTGCATATCTTCATGGAACACCTTGTATCCAGGAAGATTTAGTGCTGAATCTTACCCTTTTTGAAGCAGAGTACTTGTTAATGCCACAGAATATTGCCGCATGGCAATTTACACTGCAGCAGCCAACCACACTTAACACATTTACATACATGCTCCACAAACCATCTCGTAGTCTCTCAGTCTGATTCCTCTGAGTAGCTCACTATCTCTTTCTCAAATGCAAATCAGTCACCCTGACCTTTTGAGCACCAGTCTTCCCCAAGTTAAGCTACACCTAGTACTCATTCCCTTACCGAAGTAGTTTAAAAGCCTCCCTGACAGCAGTAGTGTACACCCAGCTCTGCTGAGGTTAACTTGTCTTGTCTTTCTAGGATAATGCCTCTCACAACCAGCCCCAATATCCAAGATATCTAAAACTGTCTTGCTCCTGCACCATCTCTGCAGCCCCCATACAGTAGGGCTCTGCTATGTAGTGGACTTGGTTCTGGTTACACTCCCTCGGGGGACCGTCTCAGGGGGCTCCTGGACTGCCTCTCTGGTTTCCTCACCCTGGTTGCATAGTCCCCCCTCTGCCTGCATTCACTCCGGTCACAAGCTATTTGTGTGTTCTCTGCCTCACAGGTATACACTATTGACCTCAGCTGCAGGGTACTGGAAGCATTACCAAATTCCCATTTTGTATATTTGAATGGATGAGGTGTCCCTTACTCACCAATTAACACTTTCCTTGTGCTAACGTGACTGAGTTGGAACACCTCACTTCCCAGCACTGCAGCTCGCTCCAGTCACTGAGGCTCCACACCAAAAGTCAAAAAAAAGATTAACTTCTCCAAATTAATGACAAAGTCCTGCTCCTGAATCACCTCCAACTCATCGATCAAAATCCAGACTGGTGAGGGTTGCAGTGAGGTGTGGCACTGGTCAGTTCTCCTGGATGAGCCAAATACTGCTGAAATCTGCGTACGGTTAATAACTGATCCATGCTAACTAAGAATTGTGGGATTTCTGTATTTCAGTCGTGTTCCAATAGTGCCTGTGTCTACAAGTACATCTACCTGAGCTTGTGCCCTCCCCATCTCACTATGTTCTTCACTGAATGGAGAATACTTTATCAGGAGCAGTGCCTGGAGTGAGGGATTGCCTGACCCAGTATAACCCTCTGCCCTTTCAGCAGTTGTACCTGGATTCTTTTGTAGCAACGATAGAAGGAATTTGATTGGTTTTCAGCCAATCCCAGGCATCAGACTGTGCAGTCTCCCCAGTAAGCTGCAGTTTAATGCACCTGAAACAGAGGAGGACAGCACTGTGGTTAGCAACCACACACCTTTCCAGGTTACACACATTCCACAAATACAAAGACACAATTCAGACAGTGCCATCACTGCCCAGGGAGACAAGCAATCTCCAGAGACTTCAGGTGCAAACTACTGAATTCAATTTCAGTTCTCCAAAAATTCCGCTCCTTCACAACTGCTGTTAAACAACTGAAATGAGAAGTTTAGAAGATTTCAGTCTGCTACAACAAACAGATGCAATTGAAAAAATAAACCTGGACAGATAGCCCAGCACTGACTAACTCCCCCCCCAGCACCCCCACAATGCTGAGGCACTCGCACTGTTCCCCTCAAACCACCACTCCCCCCACACCCCCCAAACAACTGTACTGAGGCACTCTCACAGACCCCACCCCCAAACCCCCCCATACTGAAGCACTCTCACTGCTCCGCCCCACCCCATACTGAGGCACTCTCACTGCTCCGCCCCACCCCATACTGAGGCACGTTCACTG